GTAAAGCTGACGCCAGTGATAGATACTTTTCTTAGTACATGCGCCGTATACACGTATATACGTACGTGTATACGGTTACTACTACTAATGTTCTCTGTCTTCCACACGCAGGTTAAAACGCAAGCCCTTTTTATATCGGCCAAACGTGCGGCAAACCGGCTCTCATTTTCTTCCACGAAGTCTACCAGCAGATAACGATAGCGCGATGGCATGGCAATCAATGTCTCATTTTATTATTTTTTCTTATTTTCTTATTACCATTATACTATTTTTTCTTATTACCATTATACTATTATTAAGCTGTTGAAGATGGTTATAATATATTTCAATGTTTTACGACAAAAGGAAATCTGTCTCATAAATTGTAATTTATGTGTACTTAAGATTATTATTATTTGTAGCCATCTACTGTAATAACTAATAATTACTAATATCTACCGTAAAATCTAATAACAGATATTTTACTGCTTCCTATATGTAACTACCACGAATACTGTCGAGTAAGACAGTCTCTCTTATAGAAAGTTATCGCTCGATTTTTATGGAAAAAAATTGAAACGCGCGATTTGGTAGAAAAGTACGAGACCCCTCGTGGCTCTTATCTCCCTTTATCTGCCAGTCTACTGGTATCAATGCTCAACGTTGTCCAAAGGAAATTTAATCAATGGAGGGGCCTATTCTCATTACAGAGTTGCGCGTGGTATAAGCTGAATGAAAAGCAAGATTGTTTAATTTTTTCTTTCTTTCTTTTGTACCTTCTCTAGAAAAATTGAAACGGTGATCTTTAAGTTAAGACCGAAATGAAAAGATTCACTCCAACTATGCGCCGAATTGTTCGAATTGTTGAAAAGATTTAAGTTCGTTGTAACTACAATGTAATTAAAAAACGGAACTCTATTCATAATTGATCAAATGTCTGAAGATTCGACTGTTCAAATAGCTCGAAATAAATTCGAGAGTAATTCAATAAAGATTCGGAAATAAAGTTAATTATTCGCAGACGGGAATAATTAAGAAATTTGTTTGTTCTTTTCTCGTAATATAATCGGAATAATTAATTATTAATAGATATAAATGAATATATGAGATAAAGATCTTAAAGGCGGATCTTAGTGCTTAATAATTTTTTGTGTGAATTTTTACAATGCCTAGTTCAAGCAAATTCCGATTATTTGATTCGAAACGCAGTCCTAGATTGAAGCTGAAATATCACAAGTTAAATTAACAAGCAATTTAATATTACTGATTAATAAATATATTTAAAACATTTGTAAAGAATTTATTGCGAAAAATATCATCTCGGGATTTAAATTTTTTTTCTCAACACGCCCGCACGGAATGAGGAAGAAAAACCAGGTTTGAATTCTAATTGAAATGATATTTTTCGCAATAAATTCTTTACGATGTTTAAAAATGTACTCATTTTTTTCAGTAACATTAAATTACTCATCAATTTAATTTGTAATTACACAATTAGTCTAGGATTGTGTTTTAAGACTGAAAAATATATAATCAATGAGAAAAATATAATATAATCAGTGCACTTAAACTAGAAATTGTAAAAAACGTGAGTGAAAAATGTCATATTCGGTCAGAATTCGTTTTTCGTGCCTAATAATGTTTCTTGTAAATTTTCAGTTGAAAAATTTATATAAAAAATATTATTAGACACCAAGATCCTTGACCGAATATAATCCTTTTGACTTAATATTAATTATTAATTATTACTTTGTCTTTTTGTTTAAATCCAAGTTCGAATTGCTGTTGATGCAATAGATAGGTACATGATATATGTTCAATATTCATCGGAGAAATATATTATATTTTGTATTCACACGTCTAATTTTTTAGTCACACACTTCTGTCATACAAAACGCAAGAGGAAACATAAAAAAAATGAATAGAAAGGGTTAATTTGGAATTGTCTCCATGCATGGCACGTGCTCATGGCCATTGGACCTCCCCCTGCCATCTCCCTGCAAATGAGACGAGAGGTCAATGGTTTAACTTCGTTCGCACAATTGGTCTGGATTAACGTCGTAATAAATCTCAATTAGGGTCGCTCCTACGCCGCACACTTGACCGCCCTGGGGAAGATCTCGCAGATTTTTCCCCCCGGCGTGTACAATCCGCCAGGGGTTTCGAACGCCGCAGGACGGCATTTATTGAGAAGTAATCACCGTGCAAGGCGCGTGCGACGCGTTTGCATACAATTATTTATGCGTTTACGTAAGCTAAATTATCTTTCCATACATAAATCTCGATCCCTTTTAGTAGATATCATTCCTCTTCCATAAACAGATAGCTAGATAAATTAAACCGCATCGTTCAGTTTAATAACGTTAATCATCGCGGTTAATAATATCTTATTCTTTTATTTAACTGTATCATTTAAATTTCTTTTTTCGATAAATAAACATCAAATAATTCAAAATATTTCAAATAATCAAATATTTCAAAATTTCCGCGTAGAGATATTAATAAAATTTATTATTCGAGTCATACAGATTTCTTGAAGTTGCTCTTTGATCTCTTCTAACATCGAGCTTTTTTGTTTCTTTGGGTTTCTTGATTAATAAATCTCAGAACATTGTAAGTAAAGTATTAGAAGAGATATAAAATTCTCTATCTATCTTTCGTTCATTCTTTCCTTTTTTTTTCTATTAACTATCAATTATATCAATTATATTTTATTATATCATAGTACCATCGCGCGTATGCCACTTGAGAATCTCTCGAAATTTATCCAACATGAAGCGATAGATGTACGATATTCAAATTAATTTATTGATCTAAGTTGTGGATTTTCTTTTCTCCTCTTCCTTTTCTCTCTTTTATATTCTTTCCTATTTCTTTAATATTCTTTCCCATTTCTTTAATATTTTTTGCCGTTTCAATGAAAACATCGAAGATCTTTGTAGACATTTCACGAAGAATTCGCAGAATTATCCGGCGCCTAAACTCTCCCGATAGTTTTTTAGCTTGCGAAATAATCTATTTCTACAATATATACATTATAGATTAACTTTAATCTCGATTTAACTTATTTTTTACATTTTTCTAGATCTAAAAAGTAGAGAAAGAATAAAGAATTAATTAATTCGAGATTAATAGATAAAGATAAATCTATTGGTAAAAAAGGTTATATTTATTTCTATCAATCTAAATTAATTTTAATCTTGATTTAACTCATTTTTCATTTTTTTCTAGTTCTAAGAATTAGAAAAAGATGAAGAACAAGCTGAATTGAAATTATAATCAATCTACATTGATAGAATATAGAAACGAGCAATAAATGATTTCGATTAAACTTCGATTGACTTAACTGGCGATTAAATGAAATTGCGTTCTTGCAATTTCTATAATTATATAATTATATATTTCTATAATTATATATGTCTTAATCTAACCATTCTTCCTATGTGTTAAACGACAAAATAGATTTCTATCTAATAAAATAGCGATAAGAGTTAATCATCAAGATTAAAGTTATTTGCCGAGTTTTGTACCTGTGTTATGGTAAAATTCTTATTATCCCAAACATGTAATAAAATAAAATAAAACATTATGCTCTCTAAAACTTACACTGAATTTCATTCTGAAGAGTGAAATCTCACTTTTATGCCTATTTCTATTCAATGCAGATCAACTTTAATCGTGGTTCAACTTACTCTTCATTCTTTTCTAATTCTTAGGTCCAGTTCCACAACTCACGACTAATTCTTAATCGAGGTTCAACTTGTATCTCATCTATTTCCAATTCTAGAATTAGAAAGAGACAATGAATAAATTGATCCTCGATTAAGAATTAACCGTGAGTTGGAACTAGGCCTTAGAATTAGAAAAAGATAGAGAGTTAAACCAAGATTAAAATTAAACTACATTGGTGGAAACAGGTATTAAAAACTGAGCTATTCTTTTTAAAGAAGACTGACACAACTTTTACTCCTGAGATTTCAAAGAAAGAGAGATTTTTAAACTTTGCTTAAAGTCAAAATAACATTGGTGCAATCGGGACTAAGCAATACAAACAAAATCATTGAATTAATAAAGGTTTGTTTGATGTACTGAAAAAATTAAGAACGAAGTGCATATTATCTCATAGAGATTTTGTCTTAACGATTTTTGTTACTTGAATATAAAATGTTGATTTAAGTTAATTTTCGAATAGCAAAGAATTTAAAGAGTAATAAATCTAATAAAAGAAAACATAAAAAAATCTCCATTATTCGTTTAACATAAGTATAATTGAAAATAGATATAAGAACGGCAGAAAATAAGAAAATTAAAACGCTACAAAATACAATACTAAGTACAATATGTATTTACGATTGGTTGACCGATTGCAAAAATTTCTCATTGTCTAATGAGAACATACAGAAACATAAAAACGTTATATATAAGTTATCAAAACTAAAAAATTTTTAAACAAGCATAATATGTCTCTCTGGTAAAAACTCATCTCAGAGTTCGACAATTGAGAAAACCCATGTTGCTTGACGAGCAATTTTCCATTTCTTTGTCTTAACATTCATCTAATTATGTAACGAAACAGTCGCTTTCTTAATCTTTGAATAATTTTTACTGCGCCGGAATTTTTTGTACATCTGAAGAGGACCTAAATATAAGGTCGAAATATATATTTTATATAAAATATATATATAAGATATATTATAAAATATATTATATATATA